GGACAACTCATGGAATGAAAGTACTGCTTGGTGAATGTAAATGAGAGAGGAAGCCAGCCCTTAATGCACGGAATGTGCCTTTTCTAGTTTGGAGTTTATTTATTGTTCCAAGGCAGCACAATCTACGTAGAATAAAAAAATAAATAAAAATAAAAAAACACAACCAAATTTGGGCTAGGCCAGGAGCTAAGTAAATTCAAATCTTAGCAGCACAATTATTTATATGACTTACCAGCAATACTTATCCCATCCAAAAAAGAAGTTTCAAGTAGGCAATATTTGATTTCATTTTGTATGAAATTTTCTCCAAAGGACCTATGGAATATGGAAGTAAAGATTTCAAAAGCAAGTGCAACCTGTAGTGATACCCCTCTCCCCCCCCGCCCCGCTCAACCTTGTATCCAATATGGACAAAGTAAATCACTTCATGTTAATTTGCTGCTGAAAGAATCCCTTCTGCAGATGGGGGTCTGGCAGCACATGTACTTACGCAATATAAAAGTGGCCAAGGACAGTCAGTCATTTACTGTTTGGCAAAGGTGCTATCATCAGTGAGACTGCCTTTGAAGGAAGTAGGAGCTGGATGTAGACTCGGGCTGAGATACAGTGCTTGCCATGAGGTGTAGGACAAGAGAGAGTGGATCAGGAAAACTACAAAACCTCAGCTCTCGTCCCCTAGTGCCCCTCCTCTACTTGCGCTACATTGATGACATTTTTATCATATGGACCCACGGAAAGGAGGCCCTTGAAGAATTCCACCTGGACTTCAACAATTTCCACCCCACCATCAACCTCAGCCTGGACCAGTCCACACAAGAGATCCACTTCCTGGACACTACAGTGCAAATAAGTGATGGTCACATAAACACCACCCTATACCGGAAACCTACTGACCGCTATATGTACCTACATGCCTCCAGCTTCCATCCAAGACACATCACAGGATCCATTGTCTACAGCCAAGCCCTAAGATACAACCGAATTTGCTCCAACCCCTCAGACAGAGACAAACACCTACAAGATCTTTATCAAGCATTCGTAAAACTACAATACCCACCTGGGGAAGTGAGGAAACAGATTGACAGAGCAAGACGGGTACCCAGAAATCACCTACTACAGGACAGGCCCAACAAGGACAATAACAGAACACCACTGGCCATCACGTACAGCCCCCAGCTAAAACCTCTCCAGCGCATTATCCACGATCTACAACCTATCCTGGAAAATGATCCCTCACTCTCACAGACCTTGGGAGGCAGGCCAGTCCTCGCTTACAGGCAACCCTCCAACCTGAAGCAAATACTCACCAGCAACTACACACCACACCACAGAAACACCAACCCAGGAACCAATCCCTGTAGCAAACCTCGTTGCCTACTCTGTCCCCATATCTACTCTGGCGACACCATCAGAGGATCCAACCAAATCAGCCACACCATCAAGGGCTCATTCACCTGCACATCCACTAATGTTATATATGCCATCATGTGCCAGCAATGCCCCTCTGCCATGTACATTGGCCAAACCGGACAGTCCCTCCGCAAAAGAATAAATGGATACAAATCGGACATCAGGAATGGTAACATACATAAGCCAGTAAGTGAACACTTCAATCTCCCTGGTCATTCTATTACAGATTTAAAAGTCACTATCATTGAACAAAAAAACTTCAGAAACAGACTTCAAAGAGAAACAGCAGAACTAAAAGTCATTTGCAAATTTAACACCATTAATCTGGGCTTGAATAGGGACTGGGAGTGGCTGGCTCATTACAGAAGCAGCTTTTCCTCTCCTGGAATTGACACCTCCTCATCTATTATTGGGAGTGGACTACATCCACCCTGATTGAATTGGCCCTGTCAACACTGGTTCTCCACTTGCGAAGTAACTCCCTGCTCTCCATGTGTCAGTATATAATGCCTGCATCTGTAACTTTCACTCTATGCATCTGAAGAAGTGAGGTTTTTACCCACGAAAGCTTATGCCCAAATAAATCTGTTAGTCTTTAACGTGCCACCAGACTCCTTGTTGTTTTTACAAAAATATAGTTGTTTCAGACATGCTGTAGTTAAAGTAATTTAAGAAAAAGCATTGTAACAGGGTTTACTCACCACTTCCTCATGGCCAGGCATGGCATCACAGTGTCCTTGGGGGGTAGCAGCCCTTGTCAACAGTCACTCTGGGGCTGTTGTGGTTTCTTTCAGATAACTCATCCCTCCAGCCAGGGCACAGTCTTTAGCCCGTTCCTTCCAGGGTCAGCCATCCAAACTAAAGTTCAAAACTATCTTAAACGAAATAAAAAGCTTCCAGCCTCTCCACAGCTCTTCTTCAGCAAGGTCACATTCAGACTGCAGACCCCTCACTGGGCTCAGCTACCATTGTACACCACTTCCTTGGGGCTGGTGGTTAGGTTGGCATAACTACGTCGACTCTAGGTTTACCAGATGTCCCGATTTTATAGGGACAGTCCCAATTTTTGGCTCTTTTTCTTATACAGGCTTCTATTACCACCCCCCCCATCTCTCCCAATTTTTCACATTTGCTGTCTGGTCACCCTATTCGACTCTCAGGGGTGTGGATTTTTCACACCTCTGAGAGACGTAGCTATGCCAATGTAAGTTTTCAGTGTAAACCAGCTCCCTCCCTCCTCCCATGAGTCTGGCTGCTGGTTCAGTAGCAGTATATGGTCCAGCAAAGATGAGCTCATGTTCTGGTGAAGTCTCAGGGCTCAATTATCCTATTGTGATTGACACATAGTTCTAGCCCAACAATGGGGAGGAAAGCCACCTCAGCATCATCATCCCCCTTTCTCAGAATTTCAGTAGTGTGCTGCAGTTTGTGGATTTGGAATTCAGCAAAATAGAACTGCACAATTCTGTAATACTGCTATTTTAATATAAAAAACCAAGGACATTTAAATGTATTTATGAAGGGGTCTTGCATTTACATCTTAAAATTAAAAATCAAAGAGACAGGAAATAAAAGGTTTAGGTTCTGATATTAATATTAATTTGGTCAAATTACCAGTATGTGGTGTTCTGGATTATTAGCTATGTTATTGAATATAGCCCATGATAACACTCACTATGTATTACACATAGTATGTGCAATGTAAGCATATTAAACTCTATAGCAATGTGTTAGAACCCTTTACTAATCAAAGCATGTGCAATGTCCTGGAGTAATTTGATCTCTCACAGCTAGCTGGGGAGTGGGTTCTGTGTTTGCAATTCTATTGGAGGAGGTGGGTTCTATTGCTAAGTTCTACTGGGAAAGAAGAGGTTCTATTAGGTGCAGGTTCTATAGAGTGGATTGTATGGGGCAGGTTCTTTTGGGAAAGGGAGGTTTCTATTGGGTACAAGTTCTATGAAGAGAGGGGGTTGTTCAGTGGGGTGACTTCTGTGGGAGGCGATAGGATTTCTATGAGTGGGTTCTATCAGGTGAGAGAGGAGACCCTTGGGACAGGTTCCATAGGGTATGTTCTATGGGTGAACCTGATCCTCCCTCATAGAACCTGATCCTTCCCCATGGAGCCCCACCTGTAGCACTCTCCTCTCTCCCATGGAACCCACCCCCAGGACTCCCCCTGGGAAGTGCTATGGGATGGGTTCCATGAGGGAGGATCAGGTTCTATTGGAGAGAGGGGAGTCCTATGGGGCAGGCTCCAGGGGGCAAAGGCAAGCTCTGTGGTGGGAGAGAGGAGCGCTGCGGCGCAAGGGGCAGGGATAGGCTTTGTGGAGGGGAGAAGGGAGCACTGTGGGGCAAAGGGCAGGTTCTGTGGGGAAGAGGGGAGTGCTGTGGCATGGGTGGCAGGGGCAGGCAATGTGGTGGGAGCGCTGTGGAGCAAGGGGTAGGGATAGGTTCTGTGTGGGGAAGAGGGGAGTGCTGTGGGGTGGGTGGCAGGGGCAGGCTCTGTGAGGAGAGAGGGGAGCACTAGGGGACAGGTTCTGTTGGGGGAAGAGGGGAGCGCTGCCTACGGGGCAGGTGCCCGAGGGCAGGGACAGGCTCTGGGGGAAAGGGGAGCGCTGCGGGGCGGGTTCCCGAGAGCAGGCTCTGGGGGAGAGGGGAGCGCTAGGGTGGGGACACGTTCTATTGGGGCAGCGCTCTTCTCTCCACCCCTACAGCCTCCCCTTCCCCCTGCAACCTGCCCCGCAGCGCTCCCG